TACCTACTCATATTAATATAAATAAATCATAAAATTCTATCTTTGAAAGGATGGATCAGCTTCTGATCTCACTTCTGCCGAGAATCGTTTTTCGAATGCAATGATATTTTATCATTGAATTCAAATGTAATACATCATTGAAAACCCTCAATGACAAGGTACACTTGAAACCTAATATTAATCCTAGCTGAGTGATTTTTTTTTAAATTAATATTTTACCCAATTGCAGTATTCTAATAAAATAAAATATATTCAAATTAAAGTATCGAAATACTTTTTTTATTTGAAAACAATTTTAGTATTTAAAATATTTTTTGCAAAAAAATATACGAATACTTATTCTAAATGTTTTTGTATACTTTTATTCGTTAAAGAACACGTTTTTGAACTCAACAAAATAGTTTATATTTATGACAAAACTAATTTTTCAATTAAAAATCGGGCACATAATAAGTTATGGACAATGATTGACAAACGTTTTTAAAACTGTACTAAAACAGCAGAAAAAAAATATATTCCAATAGTGTTGGGATACTGTAGTTAGTACTTGATAAAGTATTCGCATATGTTGTCAAATTATAAATATTTTAGTGTATTCTAAATACTTTAATACCATTTATTCGAATACGTATTTCGAATAAAAAATAAAGCTATTCTTTACAAGATTGAGTACTCGGTGACATCCGAGTAATGCTAGTAAGTGATTCTATCAACCATGTCAACCCCATGATCATTATTATATTACCTCCAAGTCAACTGGATGACTATAAATACTTAATTTTTTTTTTTAATTTTTAAAATTTAATAATACACGCGAACATTAAAGGTACCTACTAAATTTAGATAATAATACAATAACATGAGCTGAAATGAAAAATAGTGTTTTGCGGTGCGTGGCACTTGAGATTTGAATAACTCATTATATAGTTACATCGTAGCGTTAAAGTTTAACTGAATTAAATAAAATGTAGTTGATAATAATATTAATAAAACACATTCGTTCGTCGGAATTCAATTAATCAATGTGTATACCTACTGTATATGTTAGATAAACACTGGCGCGGAAGCGCAATGGTGATGTTTACTTTTGGTGGATGATGATGGATTTACCGGGTTGAGTCATAAAGTTTCGGAAGTCTATCGTTTACTTTGGATGGTTCAAAGAGATTTCTGAATGAAAACAAAGCCCGAAAAATACATGTGGCACCGGGCAAATTCCATTGGACGGTTACCAAAGGTACAGTTTTTATAATTATTTTTCTTCCGTATACTGCACCGTATAATATTTCGTCGTCTTAGGCGTAACGTCGGCGGCAAATTATTTCGCTTATCTGAGACGGTCGTGTGATAATATGAATTCTTCAACATGTATTGTGCCATTGTACCTACGGTGCCACCGTCACCGTTCTGCGCGAATTACGTCCACCGAACGCGTTCAATGTTTCCGGTCGACAAACTTTGGTTATGACCACCATAGATTTCGGTACCTAACAAAGTTTTGCTATACGATTCACCAACGACTGCACTGCAGTAAACTTGGTCGGCACTTGGCTTTAAGCGTATTAAAAAAACAAAAAACATTACTTCCGCCGGCCAATTTTTGAGACGGGAATAGTAGTGATCGATATAAGAAACGAATCTATTAATTATTTTCGTCCCGTACATAATAGAAGAAATAATCGTGCGATACGCGTTAATCGAACGATTACAATGTTTTGATTTTACATTTTAAACATTACCTTTGTATTATATTATAATAGCCAATAGACGACTGACTAGTATTCATTTGTTAAGAACGTTTATTTTTTCCATGCAGATGATAAATACAGCGAATAAAAACGAGTGCAATATTAAAAATTTAAAGCTATACTCACATAATTATTTAATTTTAGTTGAATTATAAATACAATATTATTGCAAACCACACAATACCTTATGGCCTTATAAATAAGCTACTTAAATTATTCTATTTTACAATTTGTATAAATAATTGGCTGGTTAACTTGAATCATAAATTATATTTAACTATAAATTATTCACTCGTTTACCACTAGTTTTTTTTTTAAATTGTGTTTTATTCTTTCTTATAATATACCTATGGTTTTGAGTTTGTTGGTTTCTTCTAGCTTGTATTTAAAAAAAAAAATTAACTCAATATTTAAATCGACGGGAATTTAAAAGTATGATGGGTACTGCTTTCAAACATATGGTTCAGTTATAATCCAAAAAACGACATAAACATTTTTTTAGAAACACCTACAATTTAGTAATAAATTATTTACTCACTATGATTATTTGTTTAGCTATAAAATACAATTTCTTTTTTTTATTCATTTAGTATGTGATATCAAGGAGGTGAAAAAAATGAGTTTTCAAGTCACTGATTATTTCATGTTTTTTTTTTTCAAACAAGGGATCTAAATTCTTTAATGTAACACAAACCGCAATGTTATTAAAAAGAGTTATAACAAGAAGTCAATGATTTCATCCGAAATTGCTGGTGTGTGAACAATAAATTCATTTTATAGGTACTTCTCAAAAATGTCTACTTGTAGATCAAAGTGAAATAAAAATAGTAAAAAAGTCAATGTAGAAATGTTTTGTCTCCAGAAAGTTATTTTGGAGCATTGCATCCCTTTGCACTACATTTAATCCAGATTATTTTCCCTCGAATGCTCGCTATACCACGAACCCTTTATTAATGCTTTCGTAGTCCGTTGACTCTCATCTTATAATATAGCATCGGTCTATATTATAATAGGTGACATAAAAACAATTTTATTTCCGGTACTGTGTTCAATATCAATATCGATTACGCATGCTAAACAAGTTTATTACTTTCATTGGTCCACCCAAACTCGCACAGTGTGCAATATTTCTGTTCGTCGTTCGACACAATTTATTCTCATGCTCATCTTTCTCTCCCACTCTTTTTATAGCTCCAATAACTTCATTACTTGAAATTGAGCATATCATGCTACTGCATAAAAAATGTCTATTTTATTTTGATTTTTATTTCCTTAAACACTTTTAACCGTGCACATTTTTGATTCGTTGAACTCGTGCAAATGTAAAAACTTAAAACGTTTCAGGGATATCGATCGTATAAAATTAATTTCCTTAATCAAATTTCATAAAAAAAAACATGGAACATATTATTGCATAATAACATTTAACATATTCGACTGATACGCAATATTTAAAACTGTGACAAATAAGTGTTAAACAATTGTATGCATAGGTATACAAGTTATGTTTGTGAGCTTCTTATAGTCATTAAGTCAATTAATTTACGTTGAAGTTATGTTGGCCATCACGGATTTTGAAGTTAAGGATACACAATATGTATTTTATATTATATTATAGAAATGTCCGGTTTTATTTGGGAGCATAAAACCTACAGCCTTAGAACCAATTTATAGCTTTAGGACCAATCGCTGCTTAGGTTATCTCCATAAATATCGTATTGTTTATGTGTATCAGTAGTGGGATCCTCAAACATTTTCACCGCGATTTACTAGCTTGTGGATAAATCCGAGTTCGTTTACCGTGTGTCCTCTACGGATGAACACTGGCCTACCCATGCACCGCTCTTTTTATGAGATTTAAAAATGTCACTCGGTCTCTTTTATTTTCTATAAATAAAAATGGTCGTTCTAGTGGACCATTGACTTTACGACACGAAACCTTCAAGTACCTACCCACGTGGACTTGTATATCTCGGTTACCATTATTTCTATCAGTATTTTCTGCAAGGTGCTACATTTTTACCACGCATTTTAGTGTTTTATCAGTAGGTAGGTGAGCATCAGAACAACGCGATAAACGAATGATTTACATTGGTATCGTTTTTAAATCCGTAAATAATATTATGATATCAAATACGCGTAGATAATAAAATAATGGTCATTGCGCACAATATTGGTCGTTAATTTATTGAAAATCAACAGAGTGTACGCGATGTTACTATATAATTTGGCATTGTATAATACGATATCATATTATTAACTATGATTGTTGTTATTGTGATATAATATTATTGTCTATCAACACGGACAAATGAAAAATAGATGTCATATTGTGGGTTATGATTTTTTTTTTTAAATAAAACGTGTAATTCTTGAACAAAAACTATCGCTTAAATCTCGCATACAAACAACACATTACGCGGCACAATAAAATACATTTAACTATAAACCGAAAACATTAAACCGATTCACGGGTACGGACAGGATGACGATCTGAAATAAATGTACGGTTCGTCCTTGTTTCGGATATTATTGGAGTCACGCGTTCAATAATAATTGAACGTCTTAAAATTTCGTTTTGTAATTTCTTAGAGTTACAAAAAAAAAAAAACCATTTCAAAAACCTTCTACGATGCATGGCTTTTAAAACGTTCGAATCGTATAACTGTCTGTGGCATGTTTTGACATGGTTCGCCGAATGGGTTGTTTTTCGCACACGCCTTGACAGCCGCACAGTAATGCCGATAAACCGTCCGACCAAACCACCGCCGCGACCCAGGGCCCCATCGAACTGGTCTTGTCATAAAACGTTTCACGATATCCGTGCAATATTAATTCGACCGCCATTACTATTAATAATATCGTCATATTATTATTATTATTATTATTATTATTATTATCAATACATAATGTGCGATTTTCCATTATTATTATAATAATAATAATAATAATAATATGTCTGCTCGACGTTTCGAGCAAGGGACAATCGAAAACTCGGAACGCGTAACGCACGTTAATTTGTCGACGAGTGTTTAACGCCCCGCCGCGCGGCCTGCGAGGGGGGGGGCAGGGCGGACGAGAGCTGAGACCAATAATAATAATAATAATAATAATGATAAAATAATAATGAAAGAAATGGCACCGGAGCAGAGGGCGAGGGCCGAGGACACCGCCGCCGTTTGGGGGGGGGGGCCTATATCTTTCCGCCGCCACCTCCGACGCCGTCGCCGACTCCCGAGTGCCAGCCGTCGTCGACTGCACCACACTGGTTGATTCACACACACATTTCGACGACGGTCTGCCCGTGACGCACTATGATTCTGGTGGAGATTTCACGTGCTGTCCGCTGAGGAGTCACCCGCGACAATATTGTTTGAAAAAAAAAATAAAAAATACAGTTGCAGTCGAATCGAATTCAGCCGGCCACCCGACAGACAACTCCCAAAATATTATTATTATTACTACACATTCGAAGTGCAACAAATAACGTGAGTACAGGAGAAGTCAATAAAATTACCAATAATATTAATGCGTTGTTATTATTTATCATTATTTATTATTATTATTATTATTATTATTATTATTATTATTATTATTGTTATTATTTGTGTGTATATACTTTTACACGTGCGGCATTATTATCGTTTCGACGTTGTGGTATTTATTTATTTTTACTACGCCCGCGCACACCTTGCAGGTGCCATCAATTTCCCCGAAAATAAACTATTGTTTTTACGAGGTTTTTTCATTTTTTACAGCTTACCGTTTTTATTTTTTTTTAAGCTCAAAACTTTTTTTTACGACCCGCACAAAAGACAATAATTTCGAATACCGTCTGGTCGGCGCAGAAGACACTCTCCCGCGCGAACGGTTGCACATCAAACCCATTCCCTTTGAGTTCCATTAGTGCACGGATCCGCTGGGTGTGCTTAATTACCTGGCTTGTCCGTGACTTTTAATATTTCAATATTTTATTTACGATTTTATGGCTGGAACGCTGTTCGAACGAGATAATAGATATCATTTTAGTGTCGCGGTCCGTTTTTCAAATTACTTTCTGTGCTCGGCAAGTAATGACTTGACGTATAAAGTATTACACGCGAACAGCTCCGGTGCTTAAAAGTTGTTTTCTTTTTTTTATTTGGCGCCGTCTTGGCTTTTTACGCTGAATATTTTTTACACGTACGCTTTGCCAGATTTTCCAATTACGCGCACCTATACGAATAAGGTGTAATGGGTTCCGTCAAATTCATTGCCAAACGTCGTTGAGTAAACCATCGCGTCGGTTCTGTGGACCTGTAGAAGGTCATATGGAGACGAATATTGTGAACAGTGAACATGACGTGATCGGAATGGATCACGGCGAATTCGAATACCTACCTGCTGTTGCGATGTATGCTTATCCACACACGATTTCATCTTAAAATTATACACATGTGCACACAACTCATATTTTCATGGTCCAAAGTGGCATGAAACACTATTATTGTAAATGAAATTGCCATACAAATAAACATAGATAATGTGAGCCGATCGAAGTTTGATTTGGCTTAGAATTTAATTTGACGAAATTGATGGTTTGCTAAACTATAATAGTAATTATTAATAACCACCTATTGATTAATACTCTTCCGTTGAACAATTTAATTTTTAGGATAAACATTGCAACAAATCTTTTAAATTTCAATCCAACCTATAAAATGTATTGCCTGTTGTGTGTGCAGATGTTTAATGAAAACTTGATTTAATATTTATTTCTAGAGAATATAATAATAACAATAATTAATAAAACATAATTTAAAAGAAAATTGTCGATAAAATTAATTAATTAAAAATAATAAATTAATAATAATTTATAGGGAATATATTATATTTTAAGAATACAAAAAAAAATAACGTTATATTTTGTTTGAATATAATTGTTCATCTACAATTTTTACTTGATGGTTCACTCTGTACATGAATTTCAAACAAGTTTGTTATGAAAAAAAAAAAATAATAATTCATTACTTTATACATAAAATACATAAATACAAATAAAATAAATTTATTCTATCATTTGAAAATTTACAACTGTAAAGTACAGACAATAATTCTAAGCTCTGGAATTAAAGTTGGGACTATAGAAATCATTTTTTCATGCTAATAACTTTTTTTATTGTCTGAGAATAATGTTTTATTCAAAATGTAGCATAGAATGAATTTTTTAGGATGAAATAAAAATCTATAGATTTTTTAGTTTTGTTTCTTATTTTAAATTTCTAAAAATGTGCTCGCAACTATACGTCTATATTCAGAGAGAGAGTAGTCAAAGATAAAAATGTCTATAAGATTAATATTTTAATTAGCAAGGTTATTTTAAAATGCAGTTTCTATATATTTAACAAATAATAAATAAACATTGTTATGTTTTAATCAAATTTAAATAATGATGAATACTGGTTGTAAACAAACGTCCAATTTTTCTCGTTCAACGTACTTTCAAGGAATTTGACAAAATAATAGCACATCATTAGCGTTAATAGTCGGATTAAATGTCTTAAGCGTAATTATTTTTTTTTTCCTTAAAGCTTATTAAGATTTAGGATCATCAAATGTTTATAAATTTGTATATCATTTTGAAACGAGGCACACAAAAATATATGATGTCTGAAAACGACATCTCGTAACCGTACTCTTATAGTTGAAAGGAAATTTACGACATCTCGGATATTGGACTAGTGAGCTTATGCAATGACCAGATGTTTCTATGGCGACGACATTTGGAGTAATTTATAGCTCGAAATCATTGCACCTGTGTGGAAAGTACGTTAAAAAGAAACACCCTACCCTGCCACGTAATTGGCACACCAATAGTGTCCCGTTTACATCGGGCCAAACATTTCAAATTAATAAATATATTTTGCCGCTAACAAAACATAGGCAGGTATAAAATTAAACTCTCGATGGGATGTTGGCGATTTCAGAACTCGCAATGGTACCGCTAAATATTAAATGTTTTCATCAAAACCCGGGAATTAGAATTAAACGGCAAACGGTTAAAATTGTGATTTCAGAACATGTGGTCGTATCACTGAATAAATTGGAATTGAATTAAGCACGAGTATTTTTCAAGGAATAAAAACGCAACGGCTGTGTCACGTATTTTTTCACTCAATAATTTAAAACGGGATAATAAAGAATGCTAAACAGACCTATATATATATATATATTATATAGAAATATAATAAAACCCATATTATAATCATACTATATAACAAAATGAATGACAAAAGGAAAATCGTGATTGAAATATGATCGGATCCGTTGGGTTTTTTTTTTTACTTAGCTTTGTAAAATTTGTCGTGAACGGATTAATAATTAACACAAAAAGTCTTTTATGTTTAACGCTATCGATGCAGTGGTAGGTTTTGTACATAAATCGTTTCGAAAAAGATTTTAAAATTGATGGTAATGTGTGATTTGTCATTCGTAACTCATCGGGGAAACTAAAAAGAGAAAAATAAAAGCTGCAAGCTGTGTGTCACTGATAAACAAGAATTGACTTCAATAAATAATATATTATCAAACGAGGGGAACCCTTTCACACAAATTACGTTTGATATCACAGGACTACTTTGTGTTTGGTAAATTAATTAATATATATATATATGTAAAAATAACATTATTTCGTAAGTTCCCTTTAGATTGTATATTACCTAAGGACGCATTTTACGGGGAGGGACCATTTGGGTTGAAACGTTTCTTCTGGTATTTTTTAAACCAATTTCACAGGCAGTTTGGTCCAATATCTTCAACGCGAGACTCTGGTAGAAAACACTTCGATATCAATTCATAAAGCGACTATTTTATTTCAGATCAAAAATGTACGGGCTCTTATTGGAAAACCTTTCGGAGTATATAAAAAAAATGTACGGCGAAGACAGATGGGAAGAGATCCGGCGAATGGCCAATGTGGATCAACCTAGTTTTAGTGTACACCAAGTCTATTGTGAAACGCTTATTCCACGACTAGCGAAAAAATCCCAACAAGTACCTATTATGCACATTTAACTCGTTTTTTTTCTCATAAAAAATCGTCACTGAAATGTGTTTAGTATTAACTATTTGTTTAAAATCGTATTCGATGTGATTTTTCAGGTACTTGGAATTACGGAGAAAGAATTTTTCGAACAAATGGGAGTTCATTTTGTCAGTTTTGTCGGCCAATACGGCTATGACCGAGTACTATCGGTATTGGGGCGGCACATGAGGGACTTTCTAAATGGTATAAAATCGATTTCAATTAAAAATGTATTATTATTTAATCTCTTTTAAAATAATTTTTATTGGAGTTTTGATGCTCAATTTAACATTGAAACCAATACCTTTCTGTAATCATTTCACAGCAGTGAATGTATAATCTAAATTTCACGTTAACGGTTATTTATAGAACTACCTGGTAGTACCTACAACGATTTACAAGTTTCATTCATACGCTTAGTCGTGACTTGAATCAATAATGCACGTTTGACCTTAAAATATATACGTTCATATTATGTACACATGTACGAAACCCTACCTTCGCCATAATATGCACTTCAAATTAAACTATCATTGTGCATAGAATACTATTGATTTTTATTAATGAAAAAAAAAAAATAATAAGGTTTCGTATCACTTCTTAATCTGTGCACAGCGGTAGGATCATTATGCCGATTTTTTGATATTGTAATGATTAAAATAGTCCGTGAACCCATTTAATAGATATTCCGGTGTGTACGCGGAAAAATAAAAATATAATATGTCAAAATACATATTATTATAAATTGCCTACTCTTGTTTTATTCAACAATGTTCTCGTTCAATATTCTTGAATTTGTTTGATTTACCCAAACACTTTACTACTATTCGTTATTCACTATTTTTTCAGTTAATTTTTTAGGCGTATGGACAAATTATTTGCCATTTTTGCAATATTTTAGTACCATTTTTATATGAAATAAAGTATTTTGAGTAACATTTTTATACTTGCATTTTCAAAAATTTAACTGTATTGTTATCTTGCTACCTACCTATTCTATCTGCGTTTTTTATTTATTATACGCACGCATATTTTCTCATTCTCTTTCGCTCCTAGTCTCATCTTATTTATTTTTCATGTTTTTTTCTCGTTCCATTTCTCTAAACTAACTTAATACCATAAGCTTGGTGCATTTATTTATTTATAATATATTTGTATATTAGAACAAGGGGTGCTTTTCTTCTGGTGAGGCTTACACGCATTGAACCTATAGTGTCCCATACAATAATAATGTTCATAATTGTTACACGCGGTTGTACAACAACAAAATAATCAAACACAGATTATGAACTTCCACTGAAATGATTTCTTATGATCTTAACCCACAAAATATTAAAACTCTTTTGAAAGTATTTAATTATTAAATTTGTTTAATTAATTGTTAGACATACCTAAACGTTTTTATGTCAATTTTTAGTACATTTTAAATAAGAAATTGTATTCAATGAGGTATTCGTTATGGAAACATATAAGCAATTAAGAACATACATTGTTACACTTTTTTTACTCGTCCGTTATTTATTAATGTTTTTAATCAATAAAAAAAAATGGCAGGGACTCTCGATTAATTTTTTTTTGTTTTATTATTATTATTGTTATATATTTGTAGTAAATTGATTGGATTGGGTATTAAAACTAATAAAACAAGCCGTAGCATGTTGTGAAAAAAAACCATTGATATAAAATGTAGTGTTTTGAGATATATATAGGTATGTACTAAAATAAAAATAATACAACACTGGTATAAATTTGTTGTTTGTGCTTAAAAAAAACTGGTCTTTGAACAATTCTATCTAAATTGTGTTTATATTTGGTTTTATGAACATACATATCAAATATGTTGGCGCTAAAAAAAAAAATATTACTTGTATTATCGTATGATTGGGATCATAGGTTTGGACAATTTACACGAATATCTGAAGTTTTCATACCCAAGAATGCAAGCGCCTTCGTTCATTTGTGAAAACGAGTCTAGACAAGGATTGACATTGCATTACCGTAGTAAACGCCGTGGCTTCGTGTACTATACAATGGGCCAAATAAAAGAAGTGGCTAGGCATTTCTATCACAAGGTTAATAATAACACGAACCAAAAGTGTAACTTTAAGTCAACCCTTTTCAACGGGCGTGTAATAATTTTAGGAAATGCGCATTGAGCTAGTTCGTGAAGAGATTTTAATGGATACAGTGCACGTGACGTTTCAATTGAAATTTGATAATAGAGCGTTCACATTAGCATCGATGACAATGACAAGGGAGGAAAAACATCTTCCAATAAGTGCATCGGTGCTGTTCGAAATATTTCCGTTTTGCATTGTGTTCAGGTCGATGACAAAAAACAGACGTAAAATTAATATTATTTCGCTTCATTAATTATTTTTTTAGCTATTTTTTTTTTTTTTTTTTAAGATTTTATATACACATAATTATTTTAAATCTGCGGAGGGAAATAATAGCTGTACCCAAAATACATATATTGAACTGATATTGTTTCTCATACAGCTCCAACATGATTGTTCAAAGCATTGGCAATTCACTGATGGTCATTTTACCAGATCTAGTTGGAAAACGGATTACCAATTGGTTTGATCTTGTCAGACCTTTAATAGCTTTTAAATTTCAAACGGTAATTTTTGTTTTTTAAATAACTAAATGTTTCAAAGATTTAAAAAAAAACTTGTGACAAACATTTTTTGTGGAACAGATTTTGAATCGAACTAACAATATTTTTGAACTTGTTACTGTTCAACCAGTGCTTTCCAATCGACCAACAGACAGACACGTCATTCTAAGCGATGAATCTTATTTTTCTCCAGAAGAAAACAAACTTCGATTGAAAGGTACAAATCATAAATTATGTAGACGCTAATAAGTACCTATGTATTGAAAGCTTTTATCATATAAAGAATAATACTATTTGAATTGTAAAAAATGATCATAAAATAAAAACAACCATTGATTATCTTAGGACAAATGATTTACATGGACAATTGGCAAATGATGATGTACTTGGGTACGCCCGTAATGCCTGATCTCAATGCACTAGTAACTACTGGCCTATACATAAATGATCTCTCCATGCACGACTTCAGCAGGTTAGTGGCGAACATAATAATTAATTGGAAACTTTTCGTATACCTATTTCATTTTTGTCAATAAACCTGTACACGATGGCTGATTACTGAGATACACGTGTATAACAATATACAAGTTGATGGGCGCTCGTTTTGTTTCTGTTCTACCCTAGGGACCTAATGTTGGCAGGGACACAACAGTCGGTTGAATTAAAGCTGGCACTCGACCAAGAGCAGTTAAAGTCAAAAAAACTGGAAGAGTCGATGCGGAAACTAGATGAAGAAATGAAGCGTACTGATGAGCTGCTTTATCAGATGATACCCAAACAAGTGGCCGATCGACTGAGGTCGGGTGAAAATCCCATAGACACATGCCAAGTAAGTCTTAAAAAATGAATTGGTTATAACAGTACATAAATCATTTTTCAGATGTTTGACAGCGTGTCCATATTATTTTCGGACATAGTCACGTTTACCGAAATATGTAGCAGAATCACCCCAATGGAAGTGGTTTCAATGCTGAACGCCATGTATTCTATATTCGACACACTGACAGAGCGAAACAAAGTTTATAAGGTTGCACATTGCCGGATACGTTATGATAATATTGCACATGCCTAGTTTGTGTGCTAATCACGATCGCATAAATTAAAAATACATTTTCAGGTCGAAACCATTGGTGATGCATATATGGTCGTTTCGGGTGCACCGATGACTGAAGACAATCACGCGGAGAAAGTTTGTGATATGGCATTGGATATGGTCGACGCTATAACAGATCTAAAAGATCCGTCGACAGGTAGTTATTTGTTTTTTATTTTTAATTATAAATTGTTCAAGCACACACACACACACACACACACACACACGCACACACAGCTCAAGTTGCTGTCAATACATCTACAATGTCCTTCAACAGAAAATTTAATTAGAAGTGAAATCGCTTATACATTTCGTAGGGTCTCATTTGCAAATCCGCGTCGGCGTGCATTCCGGAGCAGTGGTGGCTGGTATTGTCGGTTTGAAGATGCCGAGGTACTGTTTGTTCGGCGACTCGGTCAACACTGCGTCCCGGATGGAATCCACGAGCGAAGCCATGAAAATCCACATATCCCAGACGACCAGGGATCTGATTTCGGCGTCGTACATGGTCAAAGAACGCGGTGAGATTTACGTGAAAGGAAAAGGTAAGGACCGCCGCCATCGCTGTGGTCCTGGTGTGGTCTGTTTTGATTCTGAAATTCGTTTTTCAGGCGCCATGAAAACGTATTGGCTGGAGCACCGGGAAAGCCGACCCCCGTTGAGTCGAGTCCTGCCGCTGGCCAACTCCGATGTACCGGAATTGGAGTGGGAGCGCAGCGCCGATGCTGTGTTCGATATTGTGGAGCGCAACACGGACATGAACATGCAGTTGGCCGAAGACAGGATCAGGACGTACTCGCCGGTGACATTTCAAGAAGTGGCCAGGCACTCGATATCGCGTTCGCCGGTCAGAGAATATTACCGAGGTTTGTCTGTCATGATAACTGCACTAAAACATATACCAATATTTACAATTAATTATTGACGATGTCTTAATAATATTGTTGCGCAGTATCCGATAAATATTTTATGTCTAGTCATACAATCGTTCAATGCACATATCGATGGGTCCTCAAAGTATACTTTACAGCACCTTAAACGTCTAACAGCGACCTACTAGTGATCCACATTATATTTTAAGGATACCTTAAAACTATCTAAGTCGTGTGTAACACTATAAAGGCTTAAACACAATAAATTGGGTGTGCCTATATTAATAAAACCAAAATATTTTAAATAAAAAGCTTAACATCGTATTGTAAAATATATTATATTTAAGGACATACAATATCAAAATGCCATTTATATTGTTTTATTTAATTAAAATTCTAACGTTAATGTGATGAGTCCTTCCATAATATACTTTAGGTCACACAAAATATTTAATATTATTGTTTGTCGTATCTAGTTATTAATGTTTAAATTTTAGAAAAAAATTGCTATAATCTATATAAAAAATACAAAAAAACACAAGTAGTTTAAAATGAATTAATTACTTAAACAAAAATATAGAATTAATAAACCGATTCTAATTAGATAAGAATAAATGAAAATCATAAAAGGAAAACAAAATCAGATAACAATAATATTTTCTAATAAAACAATGGTAGACGAGAAAACCCTTTAATGCACATTATTTTATATAATATATTAAAGAAAATAATAATCTGAAATTCTGAAGTATGAAAAAAAATGTATAATTTTAGCATTTTCAAAACAAAACTGTAATTTCCGAAATTAAAATAAGGAAATGTAATACTTTTTATGTCTGCAATGAAGATTGAAAAATAAAATGTAGAAGATTATATTATAATCCTTTTTTTCTTTACGAACGTTAATGTTTAGCAGCTAAGGTTACAAGCATTTGAATGATATAACAATATTTACGATAATAATATAATCTTTGCTGTTCTTTGATTACTCGTAAATCACGGAATGTTATGAAAGTTTGTTTGTGTTTTATTCATATGGGTTGAATTGTTTTTATTATTGTAATAAAAAGATCTTGACAATAAAACGGGGATTCATCGACAACAATTAGGATTTATTTTATCTGTAGGTTACGTTATTCTTTCAAATAATATTGTCTTAACAATATTGTATTTTCTGATTTTAATCGAATATTAATAATAGCAACTAATACACAATCGTATGATCTATTACGACGTTTATGCGTATTATTCTAAGCATCAATTTAACAGTTGTTTAATTTAATTATTTTGAAAATATATGTTCCGTTTTAGCAATAAATAATAAAACATCGTTCAATATTAATAATGATATGACTTGAATCACGTGATAAAATATAGAATTCATTGCACAAACATTATACAGGTACTATATGTATTGTTTTACATATTATTGAGATTATTTTAAGCACCTACTTTATTTTATTTAATGCACCTATGTCCTATTCTGTACTTTAGAATAAGAATAATAAAAATAAAACATCATGTTAAGTTCGTGTTTTATATTACCATAAAAATAACATAAAATATGTTTGCGTACGAGTTGAAAAATGAAAACGTACCATAGGTAAGCTTTTTAAACGAACTCTTAAATAATTATTATGATAGTGTTTGTGCTGAGAAACTTATTTAAACAAAATGCAACGTTCAAGATCTTGCTTTGCCTATCATAATAATATTATATGACATCTATTACAATTTATTATACCCACCAAAACGATATTTTCGAATTACGAGTAGGTTATATTATTATGCATTAATAAGGTCGATTATTATAATAGTTCTGAATGATTATCAGTTTGTTTTTTTGATATGATACTCAATGGTGTTGGGAATAATAATATATTATAAAACCTATAAATATTAATTAGTTGCTTAAATATTAGGTATATAGTTTATAACAAACAATAAATTAATTTATACTTAGGTTAACTAATAAATTGTGCACATATTTAATATTGTGAACAAAAGTATAATTACACTGAACAATTGCATATTTTACCTAATTACAAATTTAGATTTTATTTAGCCGAAAAGTATGTTTGGATCTCATACCTTATGCAATTTATAATTCATATTACGCATTTAAAAATTTTTACAATTCCATAAAACCATACAAATTAATTATAAAAAACAATCATTTTCTTAATAAAAGCGTGTTGTTTAAAAAATCTTTTCAGCAATTGGCGGACACGATTAAACATTTAAAACGAAAGTGCACTGTATAAATAATAAAATCGAAAAATAAAGCGGTGTTCATAGTTTTCTATTTATATGTGTGTAAACCTACTACTGTGTACTACCTACTGGAACTAAAAATTTAACTAATGCCCTACCCTTTTCATGTATATTCGATAAAAATGCTTACAAATTAAAGTCTAAAAAATTAAAATAATTACTTGTTTTCTCCTTAAAACGAATAAGGTAGTTTACTGTGACCGTCCTAGTGACGTTTGCGCAGAGAAAAGAATTAACCGTAGTCGTACATATTTTCAGAGTCCAGGTCGAACTCAATAAGTTGCACGCCCATCGTTTCCCAGAAGGAGCTGCAACGATTGACCTGTCTGAACAGGAGTTCGTCGCCACTGTCGCGGTTCGCAAGGAAAATCGAACAGTTGCCAAAGCCGGACTCCACTTCGGCCATGGCTGCCGTCGTCGCCGTCCAGAGGCACAGATTCGTGAGAAACGCGGGCGGTGGTCGTGGCGGCACTCAGACGGCCCCGTCATCGCCAGAGACGCACAAGGAAGAGGATACGTTGGCCGAGTCGTCACCGATACTTCCGGTGGAACTTCCGGAGCCACCCTCGGTGGTGTCGGCGCCATCCCCGTCGCCACCTCCGCCGCCACCACCGCCTCCGCCGCCGCCGCCGCCGCCGGCGGCTACTAAGTCCAATCCCGTGCTGGTGCACGTGGCCGATTACGTTTCGTCCGATTGCGTGGACAGCGTCGATTCGGACGACCAGCGATCGCTGCACACCCGCGAGGTCGACCTGGGCGGATCGGAAGGGTCTGACGACCACCCGCACCCTTTCCCGGAATCCTCCGACGACGATCTACCCCCGGACGACGACGACGACGATGACGACAACGACGATTTGGACCTGTCTTCGGTCGGCCCGACCACTCCTCTACCCGCGTCGTCGTCGTCGCCATCGGTGTCGCCAACCGGTGCCCGAGCGGTGACCGCGTCCAAGTCGGACGGCCAGATATACGGCCGGCAGCGGCGGTGTGACGCACTCGACGACAACGCTAGCACTTCCAGCCTGAACCGGAAGACTCAGTGTTGCATGAGCTTCAAGACACATCCGAAGTCGTCCAGGAAGCGCTCGCAGTCCCATTCTTGCAGGTTGATCTAAGCGCCTGTATCGCACCTCAAGTCCCTCGTGTATATATTTATATATTATATATTATATTCATGATAACCGCTTTTAAGTTACCACACGCCGAGAGTCACGAACTCGTTTAAGAGCCGTATTCCGCAGTATTTTTTTTTTTACTATTCAAAATTTAGACTTATCGTGGGTTGGTTGAAATAAAACTGCCATAATATTATGTTCTATTACCGCTGAACACTGCACAATTTAGCCAAAATCACGTTGCACAATAGTTATTCGATTGATATAAGCATTTTTAATAATATTCCAAAATATTGAATCGACGCAAAAATAAATTATCAAATATTGTACTGTACAAATAACCATATGCCTACAACAGACCAGCCTCTATTTTACTGTTCATTAATTAAAAATGCCATTGTGTAGTACCTATCAATAAAAAGTGTGTGTAATAAACAAGCATATTATGTTTTAATTTGGCAAACATTTTCAACGAGTTCATGCTCCCAATATAATTATCAAAACCAACATAAAAAGTATGCAGTATGAGTTATTTTCTTGTAGGAGGGAGGGAGTTTTTGAACTCAAAGCTGTGGTTTATTATTGTACGAATAAGGTCTTATGCTAAACCGTTTTTGTAGATGGCATGTCATCATCGCCTGTAGATATTAAATTGGCGCAACCTTTGTTTTGTGTGTCTGTGTGTGATATGACTTAAATATATATTATATATTATATATTATTATTATGTGTATACGATCGATTTCAAGTTATTAGTCAATTTTATTCGACAGCGAATAGTGTAATATTTCAATAACTTGTTTTGATATAATACACAAATATTCCTGAAAGAAAACAAAAAAATCGAACCATTGTATTGAATTGTATTTTTTTTTTATACTAAATTATATGTATACATTTAATCGCTATCGGCTGATCATATTATGTGTGTTTTGCATTTTTTCTTATGTAATATAACAATAGGTTTAGTTCCTAATTAATTTTTTTTTTTAATTTATTTAATACGACTACCAGTAGTAGTTCTTTCGAGATTAAAATAATCTATACCTATACCTTTTTAAGATTTATGTTTTTCCGTTAAAATTGGCAGGCCTCGAACGTTTCTAACAACCCCACGTGGGACGAATATATAGCTATAATGAGAAACATCGCAGCGATATTGTAACCGGAACTGAGCTTAGTTTCAATCTCTCCCAAAAGACCATATCCACATTTTTAAAATCGTTTTCTCATAAGCAGTGGTTTAGGTACCATATAAATGTATTCATATCCTTTTATTATAATATTATATAGGGTTTTGCAATAACTTACTTAGATTTGAATAAATAGGTATAAATTAACCATATTATCCACTACAGTATTATTCTCTAACATGTACCTACTGTTCTTTGTGTTTAATTTAATATGATATCAATACTCGTTTAACCCAAATAAATAGTTCGATATACAATACTTATCAATTTATTATATCTATTTATACCTACCACAGAGTTAACGCGTTCGATCGAATCAATCAATCTGGTAGTCTCTGAACATTTAAATTAAGTTGCACATTTAGTTAAATGCAGTTACTCGTTTTGGTTAGTTAAAAGTAGTTTGAATATTTATTTTAAAATAAAATAAATTGTCGGCAGTCATCTCACATTTAAAAAAATTACTCATGCATTCATTATGACTTTTGTGGGTCGAGTAAATACTATAATTTACTTTTTTATGATATGAACATATTATTATATCCCCATTCGCCGTTTATATTATCTACATGTGTTACTTCGAATCAAATGTCTACTCATAAACCAACATTAATAATATTGTGTTTATACCCAAACGAAACTATCTTGATTGATGTCTAATTGATTCGTTTTCACTTTAAAGCGATACGCACTGCACGATGCTCAAATATGTGCACGTCTCTATATACCTACTTAATGTACACGTAGGTGCACATCTATTTCAATTAAACTATGGCGAGAACCTTTAACTGCATTAGATGCGTTTTGGAGTTCTCCATACTGCCCGAGTACTACCTACCTATATATTAGATAATAACATGACGTGCCTACTCAACAGTGCCGCGCATAATATTGTGTTTACCGTACATGTTTTACGGACACGTTTATTGACGTCATGTTATCATAGGAGCTATTAAAAATTTGAGAATTTCTTAATTGTTTATTTGTCCGTCCCCGTGGAAATTGAAAACCGCCCCACATCACTTGTCACGGTTATTGTATTTTGAATGAATTATGACCACCCGTGTGAACCAATAATGTTATTATGATTTCAAACTACACGTGCTAATTACGGATGCGTGCTAATTGATTGTCAATTAACGTTTTGTGAACAACTACGCAAACAAATTTAAATCAACAAAAGAATTACAAACGTAATTATGTTTTATCGATAATATAATCATCAACTTTAACAATAGTGTAATATTTGCACATATTTTACGAAAACAATTATTCATAAACCGCATAGGACACATACATAGGTACACGACGGAACTAAGATATATGTACAACTAATTTCATAGGTCCCTAAATATTATCCAAAGTTTCAATGAACTCTTATGATAAATCATAAATATCTAGTTGACTTTATGAAAAGTCAGCAATTTAAGTCTTGAAACTTTATAATTTGACGATTACAAACTTCATAAACTTAATATTTTATAACCACGTAGGTAACTTTAGATTGTAATATTAAATAGGTAGGTATCATACTTTTATTAAACGATCGTACGAGTAAAGAAAATAGTTATCCTATTTCATACCTAGGAGTTCAATTTAGTATGTATAATACCTCCACCTACATTATACATAATATGAAGTATTAAGCTAACCGTTTTCAGACTGCCTATACCTATTATATTATTTTATATTAATTTAAGACTCATAAAGAATATAAATAAACCAATTCAGAAGTTCCAATATATTATTTTTCGACTTGAATTAGTGAAATTATTTACGTTGCATTACTATAAACTAATAAAACATTAACGTTAAATATTTCATAGTTTGAACTAGTCTAACGACATTTCAGTTAAATTTAAGATCACTTATAAGTTTTAAAAGTCTTTATTGTTAAAAACAATAGCTTTTTTTTTTAAACATAATTAAAATGTTTTCTCATTAAGTTAAAATAAATAAATATATTTTAATGAAAAAACTAATAACTTGCAAGTGTCCAAAGGCACTTTAACCTGTAATCTGAAATTAACTTTAAATTTAACTTTTTTAGAGTCACATTTTACTATATGTCTTGACGTGGTTGACCACAATGTATACACATAACTACAATGCGACTTGTTCATTAAATAATGTTAACATAATGTCGTTGAAGTTATTAAGATGAATAAAATGTAAGTGATAATTTTGACAATTTAGATGCTCTAAAAAAAGTGTATCTTTTATTTTATAATCCCTTTGTGTGTAGTTATTATGATTTTGTAATAAAGATATTTAAACACAATGACAATACCTATTGAAAAAAAAAAAAAATTATAGTTTTCAACCAATTCATTTATTACATTTTATAGTAAAAATAGTTGCTAATGTTTTTTATATTCGCTTGGATTAAATATAGTTAAAACTATAAATTAGAATTTCAAAAAAGATTGAAAGATGGAGTAATTACTCTACTATAATGTTGATGTATATAAGCTAACTAAACAATAATGTATTATTTCGTCAATTATTATATAATTCGTATTATGGGGCACCTACTTACCCATGTAATAAACCAATATTTCAATTTCTTTGTTTAAAATATTCACTGCATGAACAACATTAATTATTTTGGTTTTTTTTTTTTGTTGGTAGGGGCATTTACTTAATGCATTGGCATTTGTATAACAATCATTTGAATAATATGTGCCAGTTCGGATAAATGTCATTTGGAGTGGAAATAACAAATCCATATTATAACTAATTCAATTTTTATTTCAATAATAAATATCATGTATTACTCCAAACTAATTCATGTATCGTCTTAAAGTATACATATTTATAAATATATATATAATTTATGTACATAATAAGTCTGCATGAAAAAAAAGTATATTTACAAGTCATCTATAGGCTAAGGCTAAGAAACAACATGAAACGTTTTCATGTCTCGTCAACGTCAGTTCTGTATAAAACACATAACTATTACTACATGTATTTTGTATATTACATTACATGTTTCTCAGTTGATAAATATAAGGCCCTATAATACTGTATAATTATTAGTGTGATCATATTTTTCTTCTTTAATTTATTGTAAAGCAAATTTCACAAATTAAAAAAAAAAAGAATTATGTATAAATATAATATATTATCTTAATAGTACGTTTTTTTTTTCAGTTACTAAATTTAATTATTTGTTTTATGCTGTTATCGTAGAGTTAACCATGTTGGTTGCTATATATATATTATTATAATAAAGCCTAACGCACCATATACGAGTAACTGTATAAACTACTTCTTTTTTTTTTTAATTGTCATGCAAGCAATTAATTAACATAGCCTAATAATCATAATAGACATATGTTATTGATTATGGTAACATTACATTATCATTAAGGTATATAAATATCATTTAATTTTAATGTAATACGTAAAAATAATAAGAAAAACAAAAATAATAAACAATTGCACAAAAAAAAAAAAATTAACAATCTATATTTACAATTCAGTTGATTTTTATTTACATTTAATTTTTTCCGTTTGAATGGAAATACAAATCATATGTTTCAATGATGCGCGTAAGTGTAATATTACACACACTTGTGTAATGTCTTATTGAAAAAGAAAAAGTTTTAACAAGATCACAATAGAACAAACTATTCCTGATTAATACAAATTATATATTTTATTACATAATTTGAAAGGACAAAAAAAAATGATCAGTATAGGTAGGGATATTTTATTCTCATACGAAATATGGTACCAATTTACGGTTCCCTGAGTGTACCAATACAAAAATATATGTATTTTTCGATTTTTTTCGTTATATTTTTTTTTTTATAAATCAATAAGACGTAAGAAGAATTATGAGTATTTAAAAATCAAATTCTCGTATTATTTACTCGCTCATAACATGACTAGATACTATTGATTATTCTTTTTTTGCCAATTAAAAACAAATCACGGCCCGGAAGATGAATTTGATCAGACGTGTATCGAATGGACGGAAATTGAGCATTTGATAAAAAATAAAATACGTGATAATAGATTAAAAATCTTAATTTTGTTCACAGGAACGAATGGAATACAGATTTAAAAATAATATGCATAATGTCTAGAATCGAAAAGTCGTTTGCCTGGTGGGTTATGGACGATACAGGTGTTTATGGGTATGGGATAGGGCGGATCGGATATTGAACAAATTGATCGTAGACCGGCGAATAAGTTAAGCGAGTAATAAATAAATAAATTATAATAATAATAGGTAATAATAGTAATAATAATAATAATAATAATAACATGTGGAAGTATATATTATAAAAATAATAATAATAATAATAATCGTAAATAAATAATAAGTAAACGTTGGCACTATACATCCGATGGGGCCCTAGTTAAGTACCATTCATTCGTCCTTGGTCTTTTTGTAATGCGTCCGTCGGTTTCGCTTTTTCCGGTTTGGCGTTTTCTGGAACCTTATGTTTCCGGGATCATCGGCAAGCTGTGGCCGGTGGCCACTGACGTCATGTATGACTACTCCCTCGTAACCATCCACCCGGCCACGATTCACCAGCTCCTCGCGCTCTTCGGCATTCCACTCGGCCCTGGCACCCCTTGACCCGGCTGCCACCAGCGAACGCTCAGATTCCCATGCCCGCTCCACCGCTCGCTTGTGCGCATGCTTGAGCAATCGG